CGGGATTCGGTTAATCCCTTATGTGGACGATCTCCTATTCATCAGTGCTACTTGGGCTGAGGCAATCCGAACACGAGCCGTCATTCTAGATGACCTCAGCTCCGCCGGCTTTGTCGTCAATATGGAGAAATCACAACTCGAGCCCTCGCAACGGCTCAAATTTCTTGGCCTCATGCTAGACACTCGCACCTCCTCCTTCTCTGTCGATGCTGACCGCCGAGGCTGGTTGTTTGAGGAACTCGACCATTTGTGCCGAATCAGCACGCAGGGCCGTCGTACCCCAGTTCGCCGAGTGGCTAGAGTGGCAGGCATGCTAGCCTCTATGACGCTGGCACTTGGCACCATCGCTCGTGCCTTCTCCCATCACCTGCTTTCTCAAATTAGTGCGTGCCAAACTTGGGGGGAATCCATTTGCTTGACACCAGAGTCAGTTGACGAGCTGAGATTTTTGCTGACTCAGTTCGACGTCTTCAATGGTTATTGTTTCCATAATCCGCACATTTATGACGTGGTCATGTATGTGGATGCAAGCGACCATGCTTGGGGAAGCTGCTACTCTACGCCGGATGGTCGCGTCGGCTCAAGTTCTTCTCCATTTCCTCGCACGCTATCAGCCGCCTCAAGCACGCATCGTGAACTCGCTGGGATTCTGTGGGCTCTGGCGTCTTTCAGCCGCGACATTCGGCGATCACATGTGTTGCTTCGGAGCGACAGCCAGGCAGCTTACTACATCTTAAAGAAGGGTGGTTCGCGCCACGCGGAGCTCACCCTAATTTGTCGCGCCATCATCACGCTTTGCGTGCGCCACAAGATTCGACTCACGGCACAGTGGATCCCTCGAGAGCTCAACACCGAGGCTGACGCGCTCTCAAAAATTGAACTTCATGATGACTATTGTCTCGCGCAGACATGGTTTCAATTACTCCAGCGTCGCTGGGGCCCACACACTATCGACTTGTTCTCGTCGCCGTCCAACGCACAGCTGCCCCGTTTTTGCTCTCTTAACTTTCATAAAGAGGCTGTCGTGCAAGATGCATTCTCTCTCAGTTGGACAGGAGAGAACTGCTATGCCTTTCCCCCACCGCCCCTAATCCCAGCTGTTATTGCTCACGCCCGTCGTTCCAGAACGGTGATAACTCTTGTGATCCCGGAGTGGCCTAGCTCTTTTTGGTGGCCATTGCTGCGCCCAAAGGGCACCGCGTGGGCAAATGATGTCCGCGAGAGCATGTATCTCGCCCATGGCTCCGTATGTCTAGGTGTTGGTAGCTATCCCCAGGCCTTTAGTGGTGCCGGTATTCCCCATTCGCACATGTATGCACTCCGTTTGATATATACTAATGCATAGTCATGTAAACATGCAGGATCTTACATTAGACGCTTGATGATGGACCTCTTGACACTCACAGTCGACTTGCGCGCTCAATCAACCATTCGCACATACGAACCATACTGGCGACAATATCGCGCCTTTTGTCACGAGCATTCGCTGCCATTCCTCCCCGCTACTGACCTGACAACGACTCTTTTCCTACTACACTCGATCCGAAGGGGCGCAACCGTATCGGCCGTGCGATCCGCTTGCTCCGCAATCTCATGTGCCCATTGGTTGGTCGGCTGCCCTTCTCCTATTCGAGGACCACTTTCTTCACAAGTGCGGGAGTATGCGCAGCGCCACTGTGGCAAACCCTCACTAGCAAAGGAACCGATACCCCCGGCGAAGATCTACGACATATGCGACATCTATTTCGCGTCGTCGGATCCCGCCACGTTCCAGCGCGGTCTCATTCCCCTTTTGATGTTCGCGGCCTTCCTGCGCTTCTCCGACCTGATCGCCCTCCAGTGGCACCAGATCGAATTCGATCGTGACTGCATGTGGCTCTTCATTCCCCGCTCCAAAACGGATCAGGCTGGATCAGGTGCCTGGGTCCCAGTTGCCGCCTCTACTGCTCGTCACTGCCCAGTCGCCCGCATGCAACAATTTCTTTTCCTCGCGGGATTCTCTTCACAGACATTAGGCGCCCTGATCAGGGTGTTCCCGCCTAATGCTCGCGCTTCGCCGCCGGACCGATCCCCCTCATATGCCACGGTTAGAAGCTGGTGTCGCGAGGCATTCTGTCGGGTCGGCCTCAACCCGAATGTCCTCGGCACGCATTCTTTCCGCAAATCGGCGGCCACTGTGGCAGTCGATGTGGGTGTTCCCAATCGACTCTTCAAGGCTCTCGGCCGATGGCATAGCGACAAGGCTCGTGAGTTGTATGTCACTCAACTCGATCGCGAGTTGGTGGTGGCGTCTCGTACCCTTCAGGACCCGACGCGTCCTAGTCCAACCCATCGTTACGCATCCACCCTCGCACGTCATCGTCACATTCCCTCGATATGATGTCTCGCTTACCTATGACGAGTGCACTGCACACTCCTCGGAGAGTCGTGTCACAATATGTAAAAAAAAATTAAAGATAAAAAATTTGAGGATTGTGATTCGACTAGTAGAGGAGTTTGCTGTAAAGGAGACAAACTCCTTGACATTCCTGCAGGTCTCTCAGACCTGCCACCTAGCCTCATTTGCATTTTCCAGATCTTGATTTGCTTCCCTCCCTCCCAACCCCCTTTTATCGTAGACTGTTCTTAGTACGTAGCTTATGGTTGAACCAACTGTTATTGCCTATCAGAGTGTGCTGTATAATTGAGATTTGTAATGCTATGACGACTGCGCTGCACACTCCTCGGAGAGTCGTGTCACAATATGATAAAGTGCAACTATGCTACAACAAAGCCAGCCACCATCTTCAGCTATCACCTCCCACTGGCAGGTGTCGTCGTCCCGTACGACGACGTTGGATCCCGCCAGATTTTTGAATTAACATGATTTTCAAAATTGGGGTCGTCACCAGCGCGCTCACACAACCCGGATAATCGTGTCCTTTGCGATCGGGTCCTCGCAGCGACGGCCGTTGTTGAGGGCCGCGAATTTGAACTGCTTGCCTGCGTAGTATCGCTTCAGCAACACGGCGCACGTCTCGCCGCGAGTCTGGTAGTGCTCCGCGAGATCCACCATGCTCTTCCTCCCCGCCGCCAACGGAACTGTGTTAAGGATGTTATTTACAAATATATGTTGAAGAGCAGCATAAGTTCCAACGCATCCGCATTTCCAAACGCAAAGCATCAGCATCGATGCTCAAATGGGACCAAGTAGTAGGTCTGAAACCGGAGAATACGGAGGTGCCACGACGTAGTGCGGCTGCATACTGCAGGTAACACTGGACAACAGGGATAGTATTGGAACGCTTGGGCACGGCGGGAGGCGCAACTCACCGTGGGATGCGAGGAGAAGCGCCAGCGCCAACACCAGCATGGCGCGGACAATGTTCGCGAGGCGGAAAAACGTTGCCATGATGGCCTAAAGGAAGACCGGATTGACAGATAAGAGAGAAATAGATGCGATCAGGAGAAAGGAGATGGAATGATTCTGATGAATGCTATGTTCCAGGAGTGCGGTATTTATGCCACAAGACATCCAAATCAAGGCACATGAAAAACCTGGGGTCAAATTGGATTTCATGGGTACGACCAGGGTGTTGAACAATGCAATGCGTTCCAGTACGGTAATCTTCACCTCTGCCACCGCTATTCACGCCGCCAAGTATGGTGATCATGGCGTATGAAAAGCATTGGGTTCAAAATGGCATTTATGTGTTCGACCGAGGTTTCAAACTACGCAATACGTTCCCGTACGGTAACTTGTTTCACCTCGCCATCAATTTTGCTGCTAACGCGTTTCTCAAGTAGCAACGCGATCCGAGGCGCGATGAGGAAGCCGAGAAATGCGGGGCTTTGTGGCTTTGAATACTTTATAATCACCAACCACACCAATACCAAAGTGTAGATATTACAAATAGCATTGACACGACTGCTATAAAAGAACTCAAATTGTGTGCTCCAGGTAGCCATTTTGCGGCAGGCAGAGCTGAGGGGGGAGAAAATGGGGGTAAAAATCAGTCATCTTTTTTTGAACCGTCAGCCATGCCCGAAGGGCGTACATGCAGGGCCTCAGGATGTTCTAAATCCTAGCAAAGGCCCTGGCATTACCTGACTGTACATTCCCATTCTGGTCGACTATTTTCTTCATTCTAACAATATTTGCACGCTTTTTTGTAGCCTAGATTTGGTTGTGTTATAGAGGATATGGACTGCTCCCGTACATATCCAGTATGCTCTCATTCTTGTCGGTCGTTCACTTGTTAACATAAAAAGCACCAATAAATGTGCAATAAAACAAGTTACGCTCTTCTGTTCGGTTATCGTTGCCTGGAAAAGAAGGCATGGTCGGGCAGGTTCGCATCAATCTGCCGAAGCCATTGCGTTGCCGCCACCTCCAAGCCCCGCACAGCCCCCCGGTCTGACCACACCGTCCCCCACGTCTTGTACCCCGCAAAGCCAAACGGCACCAGAGGCGTCGTGAAAACCCCCCGTTGCCTCCCCTCGCTCGCCCCGTCAGCTGAATCCGACGATGGGCGGGCGGGCAAGTGCTTGGCGGATTGGAAGACGGGCAAGGAGGGCGGCGCGATCCAGAACCTGGCTCTGCAGAGGCTGCACGACCCTGGGGTGCAGAGAGAGGGTGAGAGCGGGTAGGTACGGGCAAATAGAAGAGCTACTTTGACATGCAAGCATGTACGATGAGTACGAAAGCTCATGAGGGATGCAGCTTGGGAGGGATGCAGCTTCGGAGGGAACACAAGCAAGGAATCAGCACAAGGAGCGAGCAAGAAAGCATCCGAGTTCTCTTTTCAGCCTTGAAAAAGAAGGCGCGACAATGACAGGGGCTGCTGATCAATCAGGCAAGGGGCTGCTGATCATTCAGGCAAGGGGCTGCTGAAAGATGAGGCAAGGGGCTGCTGACAGATGAGGCAAGGGGCTGACCGGAGGAGGAGGGCAGAGGGGAGGAGAGGCTGTGGAAGGTGAGGAAGGAGGCGGCGAGGTCCCGCGTGGTGGCGGCCGTGGGAATGCTGTACACCGGGTACCTGCGCTCGCTCGCAGGGGTGATGGGCGCGCAGGGGGGATGGGCGCGCAGGGGGGATGGGCGCGCAGGGGGGATGGGCGCGCAGGGGGGATGGGCACGTGGGATGAGACGGGGGAGGGAGCACGAGGGACAGTGGCAGGCCGTGGGAATGCTGTACACGGGATACCTGTGCACGCAGGGGGGATGGGCGTGTGAGGGGTGATGGCAGTGGGACGGGACAGGACCGGGGGGAGCATGGTGTCGTGAAAACCCCCCGTTGCCTCCTAGACGGAAACCGCTCCCAAAAGCTGTTGACCCTGCAGATCCAATCCCAGCATCGAGCAGAGAGGGGGTTGCCAAATTGCAATGTTTGCTTACAAATGTTCCACGCCGTACCGTTGTGCCCAAATCAAGGCCGCGATTAGTTCTGCTCGAGAGCTGCAGCTGGTATTGATAAGGACGTAATGGCGTTTCGTGATGGCGAGTCGTCGGCGGATTGGATGGCGCATCTCGAGCGCACCTTGCGCTCCACGCAGCCTGGTGGGTCGCCGTTGAAACCACGGTGCGCAGCACATGTAACCGGCGTAACCCTAAAATCGCAATTAATCGTAACCCTAAACTCACTGGAGTTCAAACCCTGAGTTCCGTACGCGCGGATCTATTGATCAGCTAGGTGTTAGTCCTCACTTCCGCGCCGCTTCCATCGTCACTGCGAAAGAGTTGTTCTTCTGCTCCACGCCGAGCCGCCTCCTTCTCCCTGCCTTGTCATTCTCACCCGCTGTGCCTTGTCATGCCATCGCCTGCTTCCGTTCCGGCGAATCTCAACGGCGTCACTAACCAACTTTCGCCCGCTCCTCCACTCGCCCCCACCTCGTCCCAATCTCCCTTCAGCCCTTTCCGCTCCCCGCCTTCGTCCTCGTCCCCGTTTCCTGCCACCGTCAGCCGCGCTGCTTTCTCTGCACTCCGCTCGCCCCGCTCTAGCGGGCTCGCAGCAGAGGAAAAACATTCGGCGCCGCACCTTACACTCGCCTCACTCGCCCACTCCCTCTCCCCTCTTCCCCACTCTCTCCCCTCTCTCCGCTCTTCCGCACCCTATCCCCTGGATCCCCTCTCTCTCCTCTCTCCCTTGCATCCCTCCCTCTCACTCCCTCTCCCACCCTTTCCACCCTTCCGCCTGTCCCCGCCCTCTCAGCCACTCAGTGCCACGGAATTCTCGCAGCCGGGCCTGCCCTCGTGCACTGGACGCTGGCGCAGCAGCCAGGGAGGAGCGCAGGGGCGGGGAGAAGGAGGAAGAGGGGGAGGGAGACGGAGAGCCGGAGGAGGAGCGGGTGGGAGGAGCAGGGGCAGCAGCGACAAGCCCCTGTGTCTGAGAGTGACGTGGCACAATTCAATTCGTTGGTTCTGCGCCTGGCTGATGCCTTCAGCAGCAGCAGCAGCAGCGCCACCCGCCTCTGCATTCTCAAGCTCTTCCTCCTCCACCTCTCCACCGCCACTTCCCCTCTCCCTCCCTCTCCTCCCTCTCCTCCTTATCCCCCTGCTCCTTCTCCTCCTTCTCCGCCCTCTCCTGCATCTCATCATGCCACGCCAGCTGCACCCACTGGCCAATCCCTCGCACCTGCTGCCCTGAGAATGCCCCCCTCTGCTGGGTGGCGTGACGCGGACGGTGACGCCATGCCTGACGTCGGCAGCATGTGTGACGTCAGCCTGCTGCACTGGCGATGGAGGAGGGAGGGAGAGCGAGTGAGGGATGTGTGGAGGGGAGGGAGAGTGGTCGTGAGGGGAGCAGAGAGAGAACGTGGTGGTGCTGGCGTTGATGGTGATGATGATGGAAGCAACGGTGCTAGCAGCAGTGGTGATTGCTGTGAGAGACATGGAGATAGTGATGCTGATAGTCATGGTGGTGATAGTGATGGTGGTGCTGGCGGTGACTGGGCAGGCGTGTTGATTCCTCAGAAGCTCTTGAATCCAACCCAAGTCATCACCCGCATCTCCCCTCTGCTCTCTCGCTCCTCCTCCTTCCCACTCCCACCCACCGTCGCCGCAGCAGCAGCAACAGTCACAGTTACAGCAGGCACAACTGCAGCCATGCCAAGTGACTCCCCGTCGCCACCGTCGTCCCTTGCTGCTGGCGCTCTTGACGCTGTTGACTCCGTTGACTCCCTGGAAGCCCGCTGTCTCGCGCTGCGCCTGATTGGCTGCCTTGCTCCGCTGGCTGCTGACGTGGCACACGTGCAGGAGCTGGTGGTGCGGGCGGCGATGGAAGCAGAGGGACAGCAGGAGGTGAGCAAGGGAGGGAGAAGAGAAGGGGAGGAGGGGAAGGGGGGGATAAGGGGGAGTAGGAGGTGAAGCGGGTGGTGTGTTTAGGTTTGCATGCCTGTGTGCCTGTGTGTGTGCGCCTATGGTGTCATTATTCTGCATAAGTTGCTTGCTTTTCGCTTTATGGTACTCTCACAATTTTACCCCCCACCCCCCCCCCCCCCCTCCTCCTCCCCCCCCTCACTTGCTGCACCTCGCCCATCTCACTCCCCCCCCGGCTCCCCTTCCTGCCGCCTGAATAGCCGCCCGTCCTCCCCTCCCTTATTCCTGCTCGCTGCTCGCGCTGCATCCTCTGCCTTGTCTTCCTTCCCACCCCAACCTCCATGCACACACAATTCACCCTGAATCCTCGCCTTCTCCATACAACTGTCCCACCCCAACCTCCACGCAGCTCTCCTTGCGGCCACATTCCTCTGTGTTGTCTCTGCCCCCTTCATCCTCAATCCCCCTTCTTCACCTCTATTCCTCGCGTCTTTCCCTTCCCCGCCTCTCTCCCTTATTCCCCTCCTTCCCTCCCTCCACTGTTCCTCTTCCCCCCACCCTCAGCTCTCTTCGCGCTCACCTTCCTCCCATCCTTCGATTAAAATTTCAACAACCTCCCCCACCCTTTCCTCCCAACCCCATCACCCCAAACCCCCCCCCCCCCTCCCCCTCTCCCCTTCCCCAACCCCCCCCCCCCCCCCCCCCCCCCCTCCCCTTCCCCAACCCCCCCACATCCCAACCCACCACCCCAGCAGCGCCATGCAGCTCTCTTCGCGCTCACCTTCCTCTGTGACGTCTCTCCTCCCTTCGCCCTCCACACTCTCCCCCTCCTCCTCTCCCTCGCTCTCCCCGCCTCCCCACCGCCACCCCTGCCCCTCTCCCTCAAACGCCATCTGCACCGCTTCTCACACCTGCCTCTCCCACACAAAGTCAAGCACACAGAGGGAAGGCTGGAAGAGGGACAAGCACACAGAAGGAAGGAACAGAAAGGACAAGCACAGCGCGGCGAGAATGTGACTGGGAAGCAGCAGCAGCAGCATGCCAGTCTGATGGCTGGTGAGGAGAGGGATGGGGAGGGGGGAAACAGGGAACATTTGTGTGAGGAGGTGATTCTTGATTTGGGTGCGAGTGGCAGCAGTGTTGTTGAAGTGCCTAGCGGGGCATGAGGAGACGCTGTGGGGCGCGTGGCGTGGCAGGTGAGAAATCGGATGGGAGGTGAGAAGAGGGATGGGATGGGGGGAGAACGGTGTGGATGGGACGGGGAGAAAGGGGTTGGATGGATAGGAGGGTCAGAAGTGGGAGAAGCTTGGTGAAAAGGTGACTTGGTGGGCCTAGAGTACAGCAGCAGGAGACGAGTGGCGAGGCAGGTGAGGCAGGTGAGGCAGGTGAGGCAGGTGAGGCAGGTGAGGCAGGTGAGGCAGGTGAGGCAGGTGATGACACAAGAGGGAAGCACAGCAGCAAGAGTGGTAAGAAGGGCCGCTTTGGTGGCCGATTGAGTGTCTGATGGGACTAAGCTGTCCTTAACATGAAGTGCTCTAAGTGTCTGATTGGTCATTGGACTACTCATAACGTGTGGTGAGTGACCACGTGTGGTGAGTGACCACGTGTGGTGAGTGACCACGTGTGGTGAGTGACCAGACCACTCATAACCCCAAGAGTGCAATGTGTGGTGGAGGATGGTAAGGCACCTTCGCCGACTTGTGTGGTGAGTTGCTTTTCACGAATTCTTTGTTACTTCTTCGAATGGCATGCGTGGTGATGGATGTGTAATGTGGTCTTATTCTTCACTTCTTTCCCAGTCTCACCTTCCCTGCTCCTTGCTCCTTTTCACCTCCCCTGCTCCTTGTTTCTCCCAGGTGGCAGTCTGCCTGCTCTCTGCCTTCCCCTGTGCCCCGTGGTCCCCACTACTGCGATCGTGGGTGTGCGCACTGCAGGCACAGCTCGGCTGATCACTGATTCGTTGCTGTGACATCACATACATACATTCATACTCGCGCATGCATTCACTCTCATACTACCCTTGCATACGTTCCCACTCATGTCCCCACATGCATTCACACTCACGTTCACATGCACTCACACCCACGCCCTTCTCATTGACACACTCTCGTGTGGGTTCAAACCGTTTGCATGCATGCTAGCATGTATGCTCTCACAGGCACGCATGGTAGTGTGTATGCTCTCACAGGCACGCATGGTAGTGTGTATGCTCTCACAGGCACGCATGGTAGTGTGTATGCTCTCACAGGCACGCATGGTAGTGTGTATGCTCTCACAGGCACGCATGGTAGTGTGTATGCTCTCACATTCATGCACGGTACAGTTCATACTCTCACATGAACTCACCTCAACATCCCCTGTGATCCCTCCAGGCATACAAACACGACTATCAACTCGCTCCTGGAAATGTATTAGCATATGAGCATTACCATATTGTGTCATCCAGACCATTTTTTTCGTGCTTCGAGACACCAAAATGGCCCCTTTCAAATCCAACGTCGTCCCTTTCAATTCCTTAGAAGCCCTCCGGAATATCCAGGGTATACCAGCACTGCAAACTAGTGGTAAGCTTCAGGTGCAAGTCACCTTTCAATGGTTCAGAGCAGTAAAATACTGGTATTGCAATCACAACTTGTGATGAGTGGAACAAAACCAGTACATGTAGAGGGTAGACCAAATACTGTAATGAATACCGTATTACCCCGGATAGTAGCGCATATGCGCTTATAATAAAATCGATTTTTTTAAGGGGGGCGCTTGTAATTGAGTATCGGCCATAAGCGCCGGCGCTTATGTAATGACAAATACAGAAATACAAATTAAACGCACAAAATTGTACATTTCAGTCTCGTAAGTCCAATCGAATCGAACTTTTACAGCGTCCTGAATCAGAATCGCGCGAGGGCGATTCCCTGACTGTGCACATAGATTTGGCACGTCACTTTGCCCGCGTGCCAGCTCATCCTGACTGGACGCGCAACAAGTGAAGCCTTCGAAAGTCAAAACAAATTGAAATTGGGTGTTGACTCGCTTGAAATTCGAAATTCGTTACCGTTTTAAACAGGATTGTAAAATAAAATTAGGCATGCGCTTATAATAAATCAGGGTTTTACAGGGGGGGGCGCTTATAATCGAGTTCCGGCCATAAGCGCATGGCTCCAGATAGAAGCGCCGGCGCCCTTAAACGGACGGCGCTTATATCCGGGGCCATACGGTAGTAGTGTTGTGCAAATTGGCAAACTCGAAATGATCTGACAGAGAGTTGTGGTGGATAAACTGCTACCTAAATTTTGCAATGGAGACTTGCTTCGTGGGTTGGAATAATCAAGCTTAGCTAAGACACGTATATCAACAGCATACGGTATGTACTAAGGTAGCTTCACTAACAGCGGCGTCCTAATGGAGAATGCAGTACCTTTATGATAATTCAATATGTAAAAAAATTTAAAGATAAAAAAAATCAAATTTGAGGATTGTGATTCGACTAGAGGAGTTTGCTGTAAAGGAGACAAACTCCTTGACATTCCTGCAGGTCTCTCAGACCTGCCACCTAGTCTCATTTGCATTTTCCAGATCTTGATTTGCTTACCACCAGCACACTCTCTAAACCCTTCTACCTCCTATGCCTAGGACTAGGCTGTCAGAATGTTATTATTAAGACAAGACTCTTCAAGGAGTCTGCAGAGCAGTCGTCATAGAGTCGTCATAGCATTTAAGATCTCAATCATACAGCACACTAGTGTCAGATTTATATGACAGAGCTACTGTAGGCTATAGTGGGGTAGCACATATGGGGTACAGTTTTCTAGGGTTTGCATTTGTACCCAACTTTCCCTTAGTCTTTCTCATTCCTCGTTTCTTCTCATGGTATCGAGCAGGTTCCCTAGTGGGAACGATTCCTAGGGCCCACCACCACGAATTTTTTTTTTTCCTGCCCGGAGCGCGCTTCGCTCAGGCCCGAGTCGCGCCCTGTGTGCTCTCCCTCCCGTCGCGCCCTCGCTAGGCCCCTCACGGCCCCGTCGCGTCGCCCTTAGCGGCCCCCTCACGGCTCGTCGCGCCGCCCCCTACGGCCCTTCGCGCCGCCCTTACGGCCCTTCGTGCCGCCCTTACGGCCCGTCGCGCCCGTCGCGCCGCCCTTACGGCCCCTCGTGCCGCCCCTTACGGCCCCTCGCGCCGTCCCTTACGGCCCCTCGCGCGGCCCCTTACGCCCCTTACGGCCCCTCTCGCGGCCCCTCACGGCCCCCTACGGCTCGTCGCCGCCCTCCGCGGCCCCGCCACCTACCTGTGCGGCCCCGCCACCTACCTGTGCGGCCCCGCCACCTACCTGCGGCCCCGCCACCTACTAGCGGCCCCGCCACCTACCTGCGGCCCCGCCACCTACCAGCGGCCCCGCCACCTACCCGCGGCCCCGCCACCTACCTGTGCTGGCCCCGCCACCTACCTGCGGCCCCGCCACCTACCAGCGGCCCCGCCACCTACCTGCGGCCCCGCCACCTACTAGCGGCCCCGCCACCTACCTGCGGCCCCGCCGCCTCCTCTCAGCGGCCTCGCCGCCTCCTCCCAGCGGCCCCGGACGCCGCCCTCTCAGCGGCCCCGCCGCGCCGCCAAGCAGCCGAGCCGCCCAGCCGCCGAGCCGCCCAGCAGCCGAGCCGCCCAGCAGCCGAGCCGCCGAGCCGCCCAGCAGCCGAGCCGCCGAGCCGCCCTGCAGCCGAGCCGCCGAGCCGCCCAGCAGCCGAGCCGCCGAGCCGCCCTGCAGCCGAGCCACCCGAGCCGCCCTGTCCGGTAAGAGCAGCGCCTCTTTCATAGCACTGCCCTCACCCTACTGTTTGCGCTGCTAGTCTACTGCTGTCATGGCTACCCCTAGTGTCCTCGCTTTTGACGCTGAGGGTTGGGCCATTGACTTTGACGTCTGGATAGATGACCTGCAGCTTTTCTTACAGTGCGACAGAGCAGACGGCCTCTCCCTCTTTGACCTCACTTCTGGTGCCTCCCCTGCCCCCGCTGCTGATGCTGACGCCACTGTTCGCTCACAGTGGGCCACGCGCGATGCTGCTGCACGTCTTGCTGTGCGTCGCCACCTGCCTACCTCTGAGCGTGCGCACTTTAGCCAGTACAAGAGTGCTCACACCTTGTACGACGCTGTAGTTGCGCGCTACTCCTCCCCTGCCACTGCTGCACTGAGCCGCCTCATGCTACCGTACCTCTTCCCTGACCTTGCCGCCTTTCCCACAAGTCGCTGACCTCATTACGCACCTCCGCACTAGTGACACTCGCTACCGCGCTGCGCTTCCTGCTGAGTTCTGCGCCAAGAACCCCCCCCCCATGTACATCACCCTCTACTACATAGTCACCCGGCTCCCTGACTCCCTTCGCGTAGTCAGGGACCACTTCCTCTCAGTTTGCCCCACCACTCTCACCGTTGACCTCCTCGAGAAGTCCCTCCTAGCAGCAGAGAAGAGCATAGTCGCTGTAGGAGCCTCTCGTGGTGACCCTCGCACCCCCATCTTTGAGGGGTGTTCCCCCTCCCCCCTTTTGCCCTCTGTTGCCTCTGCTGCTGCGGCCGACCTCGTTGGGCTTGAGTCGGTCGGTGCGGCGTCTACCC